GGGGGGGGGGGGGGTACTCATGTAACGGCATGCCGCAATCGTTAGGTCATTGACCAAATTTGCCGGGACGGAGCCATAACGCCGAACCAGGCTACGTTTCACAACGACGGACCAGCAACTGGTCCATCGGGGGGTGGATGTTCGGGAGATTGTTCGGGAGATTGTCCGAGAGATTGATCCAAGTGTGGTGCGGAATTATGGAAAGCGACCCCTCGTGACCGTGCAGTACCGTGTTACTGCTTCCTGGTTTAGCTCGCTTACGGCCGTAGACTAGAGCGTTTACGAAGGGAGAGGAACACACACGAGCAACAAGAACAAAGACGACCGCAAGGAACGCAATTAAACCACGGGCTGACGCCTCCAGACATACCACCACCAAAAACAACAACAACAACAACAACAACAACAACAACAACAACAACAACAACAACAACAACAACAAAAACAACAACAAAAACAACAACAACAACAACAACAACAACACCAGCGCCGGCACCGGCACCGGCACCAGACATAACACAAGCAACTCCTTACCGCTGTGCATGAGGTTGGTCCAGTGGCCCACCCCGGCAGCCCTGTCCACGTCCGACACGGCCACCGGCCGCCTGGGGGGGGCCGCGGCCGCTGCCGGCGGCGGGGCGTAGACGCCCCTACTGGCATGTCCCTTCTTGGACTTCTTCTTGACCCTCTTAATGTTGTTGGGGTTTGGGCTAGCGCTGGACTCGGAGCTGGAGTGGGTTGTGGCGGGGTGAAGGCTGTTGGCGTACGGCACTCCGTCCGCGGCGTCGGAGGCCGAAGCGACGCTGCCGCTCCTGCTTCCCCTGGGGGAGCCAACGACGCTGCCCCTGGCGGAGCCAACGACGCTGCCGCTTGATGGAGCCGGCACGCCTGTGTGTCAAGCGAGTGTGTAGAGGCAGTACGATAAGATAAGGCGCTATTTACGGTCGTGGGGGCGGCATGAATGGATGGACAGTGGGGGAGAAAAACAACTCTGCCTGGGGGGTCGCTAGCTAGGACAAAGCTCAACACCTGGTGAAAACGTGTGATTGCGATTGGTCAGGAAGAGGCAAACGATGCAAAGGTGTTCGGGCCTTGCGAACCAGGAGGAAGGGGTACTTGGTGTAGAAATCTGTCGTATTTCTGCCGTCGAACGACCAGCACGGTGCGTTCAATCGGGGGGCTTACAGCGGCCATCGGCCAACTCCCTCTCCGCGGCTTGTGGAGAAGGCGGGGGGTGGCGGGGGCGCGTACTCATGTTTCGCCTTAATTGTGTAGACCATAAAATGCCCTGCTCATACAGGGCTGCCTCCAATCCGAGGTCCGCCCTCCTTTGATCATTTGAAGGGAGAAACACGGTTTTGCTTTAGTTGTGTAGGCCATGACCACGCGTCCTCGAGCGGACGGAGCATTGTTCCCTCAGAGGACTTATCAATCACCCATGGCGAAGGCGGGGGGGTGTGTGTGTGTGCTCATAGTCGTGTATGCCGTAGTCGTTAGACCATTGACCTCGCATCCCTACAAAGCCGGGACGGAGCACGCCGGGTTCTCACCGGACCAGGCTCTCACATCACAAAGCGCGAAGCGCCGTGAGGTATTCGGCGAGTCGCGTGAAGGGTGCGCTGCATCCTGCCAAGGGTCTTCGGCATTTTGTGTTTACTTCCTTGCATGCGTATGACAGCTGCGTATGACTTCATTTATTTCTGGTGCTTCACTTCCAGAGACAGTTATAAGCACTGCTGTGTAACTGCCTCGACGGTGCTTGACCATTTTAACACAACGTGATGCGATCATCCTCCTTGCACGGAGTGAGGGTTCTCGACCCCGCACAACATGATCTACTCGACCACCATTCATGGTTACCGCAAAAAAAAAAAAACGGTAAAAAACAAAGCGGTAACCTGGTTGCCGAGTTCACGAAGTGGATTGGCTTGTTTTACAACGTCATTGCCAAGCGACGAAAACCCAACCCCGATGGCAAACACCGAGGGGGGGGTAGGGGGTAGGGGGGGGCTTAAGAGTGGCGGCGGGCCTACAATCGTTTCGTTGCAAGAAACAAACAAAAAGGTGAGAAATATGCAAAAAAAAAACGGACCCGGAAGGGGGGTGCCCATCCCGGCGAGGCGGTCAAGCAGGCCCTTGTGCGCCGCGAGGGGGTCCTCCAGATCGACCTCCGCCCACTCGAACTCAGCCCCGCTGTGCCACACCTTCCTCGCCGAGGACCGCGGTAGCAGGCGTCGCCGCTGCCGGCGGCCTGCGAAGGTGTACACCTCATCGCCCGAGTCCTCCCCTCCCTCGGAGTCAATGTCCCACGGGGAGTACCCCTCCTCCTCGTCGTCCCCGTCTTCGGCCGCCGAGCCGGCAGCGGCCGCTCGGTTGTTGCGGTACTCGGCCACTAGCGCTACGGCCTCCATGATCTCGGCCGCGCGCCTCGCGGCCCTTCCCCTGGGGCCACCGGCCGGCACCACCGCCAGCGGGTTCGGGAGCCCGAGGCCGCCGCCGCTTCCGTCGATGGCCTTGGCGGCGAAGAAGTTGGTGTACTCCTGTACGTCGAAGCTGCTCTCGGTGCTGCTGCTGCTGCTGCTGCTGCTGCTGCGGCAGTCCGAAGACGACACGTCGTAGCGACCCGCCGCCGCCGCCGACGCTAGGTCTATTTCTAGCGACCGGCTGCTATCGCCGGCGGCGACGGCGCTCGAGAACGGCTCATCGTCGTCGGAAGAGGAGACGTCGTAACGGCCGAGGGGCAACGAGCCCGTCGGCGACGGCGTTGGAGAAGCGTCCCGGGAGCCGTCGAACCCGCCAATTCCTTCGCGGCCGCCACCGCCGCCGCGGCCGCCGATGCCGTTGTCGTCTTCCTTCTCCTCTTCCTCCGAGGAGGACACGTCGTACCGGCCTATGACCGGGGACTCTCCTCGCGGAGTTTCTTTGTCTGCCCAATCACGCGCGCTGCTAACACCGCCGCCGGCACGAGACTTGTCGGTGACGGTCGCCTCGGAGATACCGGTGCCGCTCCCGGTGTCATCGGAAGATGAAACGTCGTATCGGGCCGGGGTTGAAGAAGCATATTCTTCTTCGTCTTCGTCTTCCTCCATTGGCGACGCTCCCGAGCAAACTGGGGCCTGACCCCCCACGTAATTAGCATCGCCGCCGTCGCCGTTTTCATCTGAGGACGACACGTCGTAGCGCGCTCGCGGCGACCCCCCCCCCTGCCCCTGCTGCTGCCCCTGCTGCTGCAGAAGCGGTGCCGGTTGTTGCGGCTGCTGGGCACCTAGCTGGAGGGGCACTTGTCCGGTCACCTCCGGTTGAGGCCCAGCATCATCGCCGTTTTCACCCTCGGACGAGGACACGTCATACCGCGCTCTGGGGGACCCATCCGCTCCCCACTGCAGCCGCGGGTCCACTCCCTCCTCCTCCTCCAAGTAGCTCGTTCCCAAACCTCCGCCAGCAGGAGCAGCAGCAGCAGCGGCGTCGTCATCAAGACCCGGTCCCTCTTCCATGCGCTTGAACTCTTCGGACATTGCGCGGAGCGCGTTCTCCGCTTCCCGCTGAGCCTTCGCAGTAGCTTGCTGCAGCTCTCGCGCCTTGGCCTTGGCCTTCGCAGCGGCGACCGCCAGGTACTCCGCTCTCGTCGGGGCGGGCTGTTGTTGAGCGGGCATGGGTGAGGGCGCCGCGGGCACCACAATGGGGGTCGTGGGTGGCAGAGCCGCCGCCGCCGCCGCCGCCGCCGCCCCCGCCCCCGCCACCTCGTCCGTACCCGCCTTGGTTCGCAACAGCGACTTCTTTTGCATCTTGACGTCGTCGGCGGCAGCGGCGGCGGCGGGAGCGGCAGCCGCTGGAGTGGTAGCCGGAGGAGGAGCGGCAGCAGCAGCCGTAGGGGCGACAGACTTCTTCTTCTTCTCCTTCTTCTTCTTGCTTTTCTTCTTGAGCACGCCGCCGGATGCACAAGCAGCAACAGCGTACGGCTCGTGCTCCGCAGCAGCGTCGTGGGTCTCCGGCGTGCTGAGCCGTGTCGCCGGCCTCGAAGATCGTACGGCAACGGCGGCGGCGGCGGGCGGCGAGGGAGCGGGGACCCGCTGCTTCGGCGCCTTGGACCGCGACGACCGCTCGGTCGACGACGAAGCGGCCGGCTTCGCTGAGCTCCTGCCTGCTGCCTCCTCCCGGATTGTTGATACCCTGGCCCCCTTCGCCGCCGCGGTCGCGGCGGCGAAGATGGCCGAAGCCGAGGTGAATCGGCTGCCCTTCCTCTCCGCCATCTTGAGCGCGAGCGTGACCCGAGCTAGGTTTGTCTGCTGCTCGGCGCTTCCCATGTGACGGATCGAACTCTGCGACCGTCTGGCAGAAGGCGACGAAGTCGAGGTCGGGGTACGGGCTGCCCTTTCGGACGTCAGATCTGACTGCTGGTGTGGGGTGTGACTGCCGCGCTTTTTCGACTCCCTCGCGAAACCCGCGGCGTTCAAGTCCGACTTGGGGATAATCATGTGTTGGGGGTACGGTTGCTGCTGCTGCTGCTGCTGCTGCTGCTGCTGCTGGTATTGTTGTGCGGCAGCCGCCGCCGCCATGAGCCTATGCTCGTACTCGTACCCGCGTGTCGTCTTGGTGACTGGCAGGGCATCGGGAGGGACCTCGCCCTTTTCCGACGAGGTGAAGGGTGGCAGCGATGGTCTTGGTAACGACGAAGAGAGTCGAAGCTTGGCGGGTCGTGGGACGCGGACGTTGCTGCGGTGGTCGGGGTTTGAAACTGCTGCCGCTGCTGCTGCTTCTGCTGCTTTTGCTGCTACTGCTGCAGCAGCAGCGGCTGCAGCTTTCGCTGCTGCTACCGGAGGGGAGGGGGGGAGGGGAAGCGGAATGCTCTCGGCGGTTTCGGGTTCAGGCAAGCGCGGTGTTTCTCGTGACGGCCGCGATCGCTGCCTAGAGCTAGAGGGTTCGGCGACAGACGACAGCTGCTCACCTTGGCCTACTCTCCCCCCGTCCGCCTCACGCCGCGACGCCTTGGCTCCTCCCTTGCTGGTCGCCTTCCCCTTCCCCCTCCCCTTCAGCTCCGACTCCTCTCCCCGCTCGCGCTTCTTGTCTCCTCGTGCTCCTCCCACCGCTGCGGCCCCTCCTGCTCCCCAGCCTCCCAGCGACCCTACCCCGCTACCGATGCCGCGGCCACTAGCTCCGCTGCCCCGGCCCGCTCCGCCCCCGTGACCTCGCCCGACCCAGCCGCTCCGCCCGCTCTTCTGAGGACTGCCCCGGTAGTGCTCGGGCTGGTATCGGGGCTGTTGCGGATCCTGCTGGTAGTGCGGTTGCTGCTGCTGCCATGGGTGCACCGGCAGCTGAACACGCGACGGGGCTTGCATCGAGTAGACGACCGCTGGTTGCAGGCCTCCCCCTCCTCCTGCCTGGCCTGCTGACGCCCAAGTCTGCGGGTGGACGACGCCGGACGGCGCCGTGGCGATCGTCACCATCTGAGGTTGTTGCTGTTGTTGCATAACGTTTGCGCCCTGTTGTTGGTGCATGGGCGCGGGCGCCATGCCGCTGCTGATGTACACCTGCTGAGAGCCTTGCTGCTGCTGGTGATGCTGGTGATGCTGCGGCTGCGGCTGCGGCTGCGACTGCTGGTAACCAACCCCCACAAAGCCACCAGGCTGCTGTTGTCTCGTCGGAGATGCTTGCTGCAAGATCATGCCCCCTTGTTGCGGCACTCCTCCGACTTGTTGCAGGTAGTGCGGGGGGGCATTTGGGGCGTGCCCGGATTGGTCGGGCCCGCCGCCGCCGCCGCCGTTCCAGCTCATTGTTCCCTCGAAAATTTCCTTCGTAGATGGAGGCGCGTGAGAGGGTATAGAGCCAGCCCTCAAGCTTGCTCTTCTTAGCTGGTGTCGTGCGATATGGAATGACCGAACGAGCCTGTGTGTGTGAGCGCGTGACGGAGAGCTGGTAAGCCAGAGCTTAGCGAAGAAAAGCGAAAAGCCTCCTCCGATATAAATGCGGCGTAACCTCAGCGCGCGCGCCGCGCGTCTCGCGTTCCCGCGTTCCGCGTTCCCCCCGTATGCCCATACGCGTACCAGCCAAACACAGCAGAACACAGCAGTAGTACAGCAGGGCAGAGCGAACGCACGTCTCCCTACAGAGAGCGCGTGCTCACCACCACCGGTGGCTTGCAACCACGTCTTCTTTTCGCCGTGGCCTGGAATATGTAGAACAATGCATCATGACCAGCAGCCGCAGGACCCTCTCACAGCACATCTCGTCTCGCGCCTGCAGATCACAGAGGCCCTGCTCGCGGAGGAGAGAGCTTCCAACCAAGCCCTGAGCGACGAGCTTCTGAGGCTGCGTGCCGGCGGCGCAACAGCAGCTAGTGGTGGGGGATCTTCTGATGGCTACGATAAAGACTATGACAGCCCACGTCCACTGCCCAACAGCAGCGGAGGAACGCGAGTAGAGAGTAGTGCTGCGAGGGGGAGACAGGGCCGGGGCGAGGAGGAGAGGCCGCGCCCGCCGTGGCAGAACGTTCTGTACAAGCGGCAGCCGTACGCGGACAACCACGTGCCGGGTTCTTTCTTGGAGAAGCTCGTCACCAACGGTGGGTGCTCTACGAGGGTGTCGTCCGAACACTGCTCACGTTGGTATTGTCAGCCATTTGTACAACGTAGATGCAGACTTTGCCGTGGTGTCCATTTGAATATGACTGCAGAGAGGTGTACAGCAGTCACAGGGGTATGCAACAAAGGCAGCGAACCCACGACCCCCTCACACCGCGGTTCCGAGCCTGCCAGTCTACGTAGCTGCATACTGCAGAGAGGTGTACAGCAGTCACAGGGGTATGCAACAAAGGTAGCGAACCCACGGCCCCCTCACACCGCGGTTCCGGGCTCGCCAGTCTACGTAAAATAGCTGCTTGCTGTACGTAGACAGGTACACCGCGTATCATCTTCGTTGTTGCTGCGAGGCATTTTTTTATCGTATCACGCGACTGTTTACGTGAACTCTCTGTCTGTTGTCTGCATTCTCTAAGAACAAAGAGGACAGCAACATGGCCTCGTAGAAGCAGCTTGTCCTCACAACCCGCAGCATGTAGATTATTTGCTTCGCTCAGCAGTATTTCGTCGTCGAATTATTTCGCACGACTCTATTCTTGGCGGCTTGAAGGTAGCTCTCCCTCCCCCACCCCGTCCCCATCTCCCTGCCCCCCCCCGCTGCCAGCCTACGTACGACAGCCGGACTTGCGGCTCTACGTGATCAACACCTTCGCGGTGACGCAGCAGATCTCGGCGGTGACGCTCTTCCTCGTCGTGTTCATGCGCACGCAAGACGGCCTCATCTCTGTGGGGACCATGGTATGTTCCACCACCCACACCCTCACCGCGTCAAGCCTACTCTGTTTTCTCCCGAGAAGATTTCCTCGCTGTTGTTGCTGAGGTTGTCAACACCTGCGGGAAACCCCTCCAAAGCCACCCGTTGTCTGTTTTCTCGTGCTGGAGACTTCCGTTCGTCGCCGTGACCGTGAGAGGGCGCTCACCAGGTTGAACAATGTATGAAGTCTCGGTATTTTGTTACAGGGGGGGGGGG